TGCTGTGCTGTGAGGGTCACGTAATTGGAGGGTTAAAATTCCCTTTTACCTTGTTGCTACCTCTTTATTCTCTGTGTCATTGGTATAGTAAACCATTAAAAAAGGAAGGGAGGAAGGAGTGCAGCCAGGGGGTTAGCTGCTACCCGGTCAACATTTGACAGTCACACTCTGTTTTGTCGTTACACGCCTGTGCCTTTTACGAGTTTACCTCTGGGAGCTGCGTTTCAGAGACGTCCATTATGGCAGCTGACCCACAGCCCAGCTCACTCCTTGCGTCTGCCTGCCTGGTGGGGAGCAATGCTCACTGCACATATGAATCTCAGTTTCTGAGAGGGATGGAGGACCTATCTCTCTTTGTGCTGTTTAACTTAAGCCCAGAGAACTGTAGAAAGGCCTCAACCTTCAGGTACAGCCACTGCTCTCCTTTGACTGCACCGTGGAAGATCAACAAAGATGGACTCTGTTCTTTGTGTTATCCATGAATTTCTAGTTGTTCTGTATAATTTGGTGTAACAGTAATGGAAGGAAGCCTCTGGTTTTCAGCTAAGTACAGACATATAATTGAACTCATTCCTAAGTATGAAAAAGGAAAAAAAAATATATATATATATACACACACACACACACACACACATACACATATAAACATTGAATATATTGCTGTAGATGATAATCAAAAAGGGAGAGAATTCCATCATTTCTGAAAACACTCATCTTATTTTCATCACATTTACTCCTGTCTTTACCAAAGGGAACTGCAGTATACAGCCATTCCTGTGGTCCCTGCATGCTGTACCTGTCTTCCTTCCTTTCGTGTTTACTTTCCCCCACACATTTCAACCCTATTTTAAAATTAGGGTCTTTGGACTAGGATGCCTTAAGTGACTGACCTAAGGACTTTCTCATCTTAATATGTCCTTTTCCCTGGCAATCCTTGGCACCTTTTGCCAATCCAATAGAAAGTATAGGTATGTTTTGGCTTTCTTGTTGGGTCCCAACACTGTCTGCTGTCATATGCAAGGAACTCAATGCTCTTTTTCATTGTGCTCGTCAGAGAAAAGACCACACAGCCCAAGGCCGACTGGGTGAGCACGAAGGCTCCAAGAAGGGATTTAAAATCACTCCCCTCAGCCCCGGAGCTCTCTGGTCGAGATGGATGGCTTTCTTTCACTCCTTTAGTTTTGGGATATCCAGGACTACTTTGTAGTTCCACTGGCCTGGAACTCCCTACATTGGCGAGGTTGCCCTTGGGCTCCCAGTCTTTCCCTCCACCACCCCAGTGCCAGGACTCCAGCTGTGGCCTTCCTTCCCTGAGGGCTAGACACAATCATCTTGATCTTTGTTCAGGAAAAGTCTCACCGAATCTTGAACTGACTCAACATTTCCCCCTTGGTCTGAGCAAACCTGCAGACTTACATGAGACTTGATTAGCCAAATAGGACTCTGTTTCCAAAAGAGATCTGGTTGCTGTTCAAATGCTCGTTTTTAATCAACAGGGACATTTATGGGTCATTTTGTTTGGCTCATACTTACAGTTGCACCAAAATTCTACTTTGACCTGTTTATTGGAATTATTTTCATCAACTCTGCGATGACCCCAGAAGGAAGGGACTTTCGCCAACATTTTTAAAGGTTTCTTCTCTCTGCTGCTGCTGCTCCTCTTTCTGACTACATGGGGGAGGGAACTTTCAGATTCCCTTCTAAATAGTATCAAGAGCCAGAAAAATCCTAAGTACCCTACATCTGTGGTTTAGAAAACTGCTCATAAGACTGAGGTATGCCACAGCAAATTCTATAAAATTTGTCATTGATATCATTTTATTAATCTGATCCCAGGGAAAAAGAGTTTATGAAGTTGGTAGAAAATCATGACCTTTGTCCATCAAAGTTTGTTCCCCAAATTTCTGTGTGTGATTTCCACACCTCTAGGCCACCTGGTCAGCCTTTCTTGTCTTTGGTTTGTTCAGACAACAGACGGGGCCTGACTGGTACCTCTGGATCTTTACCTCCCACTGTGTGCCCCCAGAGAGCCTCAGCCTCACAGTGGCCCCTCTGCCTTAGCCTCCCCAAACCCGGAACCACCAGGCCTGTGACCACCCCACCTGGCTCCCACTCCTTCATGTTTATCTTCTTATCAAAGCTGATTCTATTCAGGCAAGATTTAATTCTAAGGGCTGAGGGTCAACTTATTTCTTTATTCTCAGCAGTATTTCAAAGTGTGGAAAGTAAAAGGAAGCATTAAAAATAAAGAATATACTCTCAAATGAGCAAGCCTTGGAAATGATAGCACACACTCATGTGAGCCCCTTCAGGCAGGGGTTCTCAATCCTCCTCGTGCTGTGACCCTTTGGTACAGTCCCTCATGTCATGGTGACCCCCAACCATAAATTACTTTTGTTGCTCCTTCATAATGTAATTTTGCTACTGTTGTGAATTGTAAGTATTTATGTTTTCCAATTACCTTAGGCAGCCCCTGTGAGAGTCGGCTGACCCCACCACCACCACCACCAAAGGGTCATGACCCACGCGTTGAGAACCACTGCTTTAGAGGTAGATGATGAGGAGATGTGAAATTGACAGGAAGGCCGTGGGAAGCCTGTATCACATCATCAGTGTTGATGACATTTGACGGAGTCTTTCTCCTCTGAACCTCACTCCTTTTGTGATGGGAACGATGTTAAATCCAGCTCATTCCTTTGCTGATCTCTATGCTGTCCTCACCATGTCTGTTCCTGGATAAATGCCATATCTACCCAGACTCCTGGGAAACGTGTGTAAAATGCAACGGTAGCTTTGAATTCCGCATGGAATCCTTTGCTTTCCCAATTGGGATTCTCTTCTGCCTTCACTAGAAACGGACTGCACACACCCTGGTCCCTCCAGTCACCTCTTCACATGTCTTAAGAGTCACGATAGAAAGAGTGACAATGTGGAACTGGCCATGCTGTTCTCTACTTTCTCTGCCTGACAACTTCTTGACCAGTGGGAGGGGCACGACTGATTGTGTCATCTCAATATGTCTGGTGCATTTGAGGCAGCTAGTTAGAGGTACCACAGACACTGACCAGGGCTTCCCTGTTCATTTAGTTTTAGCATCTTGGTCAGCAGGTCATCTGTAGAAGTGGACTTAGAAGACACTTAACACTTAATTCTTTTTCTAACATGATTGCCTCCATTTTTGCTATTTTTTTGTTTGAAAAACTTTCTATCCAAATGGGACAATTCTCTAGACAGTAGTGTTATTTCTATGTCAACTTAAAATTTGATAGGTATTGTGTGTACACAGTTCATCCTTCAAAGAAGTGGAGAGATGTTTTCTTTGACCAGGGTGTTCTCATATGTAGATGGAGGCCAGTGTGTGCATGCTTGCATGTGTGTGTGTGTGTGTGTGTGTGTGTGTGTGTGTGTGTGTGTGTGAGACTGTCTACTAATGGCTACATTAACTTTGAAAACAGTTTATAAGCTAATATCCTTGGAGCACCTGAGTTCTGCTGAATGCATACAGGAGACTCCCTCGGGCAAAAGAAAAAAGAAATCCAGAGGTTACAAAGCTGTGAAAAGTAGCAATCACAAACCCAAAACAAACTGGGTCAGAGTCTACTTACTTCGCTTTAGACCGTGTGGTTCTGTGGGAGTGACTGTAAACTAGCTTCCCTTGTATGCTGATAGACAGCGTCAGTTTTTCCCATCAAGTCAGACACAGACTTTGATGAATAGAGTACAGAGTTCCGAGGCCACAGACTTGAGAGGAATTTTAACCTAGTTCTTACAATTGTGCTATTGCCAGAGGTCTGCCAAGATAAAGGCTGTGCTGTGTTAGGGGTTTCAGTGCCCCGTTGGTGCTCTGTGACAGAATTTGCTGGGCTGCTTTCCCACAGCCCAGTGATCTCCAGTGGCTGTTTACGTTCTGTGGACATTTTACCGTGGGGAGTGGTTCTGTAGTGAATATGATCCACCACTATCCTTCCTGACAGTTTCTCCCCAACAATCTGGCAAATTGTCAAGAGACTGGAGCAAAAGCTGAGGAAGCCAATGGCTGCCTTTCTTGACGCTGTCTTGGAACCACCTTATCAAAAAAGCATGGCCGGAAAACTTGAGAGGGGCACAGGCAGCCTCTCCTTGCATGTTTTTTTTGTTTGTTTTTTTTTTTTTTTTTTTTTCTGTCCTCAAAGTCAACTGGATTCTTAATTTGGAAGCAGTTTAATATCTTGAGTGGGTGAGATTAAGCATTATAGTTTTTTTCTTGAGCAGCTTTAGTTTTTAACACCATGTTCTTCACAAACACAAGACACATACCACATGCTCTTAACTGACTCAGTGAGCTTGACATGTAATTTATGTCTATAGTATCTCAGATAATTTTCAGACTCACTATTTGGGCTGAGCAATCCAAATCAAATTGTGGTCCAAGTAACAGACACTTCCATTGGGTGTAGGAAGCCTTGACAAGCAGTTAGTGAGGAAGACTTAAGTGTCTTCATTAGCCTTGTGTGAGCAATGCAGATGTCATGTGGGGAGGTGGCAACTGGGGGGCACAGCTCTCTGAGTTCCGTTTCTGCAGTCAGTCACCAGACTACCGGAGACTTTCTCTAAGCCGCACGCTGTCCCGACATGTCTCCTCTCTGAGTGAAAATGAAGCCAGGGGTTCCTAATTCAGAATGGGCTGGTGATGAGAAATGTCTGTGTGCATTTTTGTGACTGGGGAAGTTGGTCCCCCAGGATCCAGGCCTAGTTCCTTTAGGTATACAAAGCCTAAATGCCAAGACTTTGTAAGGGTTTGAAAGAGTCAAAGTTCCTTCGAACACCCTGCTGCTTATTTTCCTTAATTGCTGTAGTGTGCTGTGTTGAACATGCAAAGGTGAATAAACCAAGATCCCATGTCTCCCCAAGCCAATTTTATTATATATGGCCCAAGGGGAGACATGTTTTTGAATAATTATAGTTTCAAGATTCTCATTTTAAATTTCTTTTTTTTTTTTTTTTTTTTTTTTTTTTTTAAGGAAAAAACAACACTGGAGAGTCTGACTCAGCAATTGGCAGTCAAACAGAACGAAGAAGGAAAATTTAGCCATGGAATGATGGATTTCAATATGAGTGGAGATTCCGACGGTTTGTGGCGATTACTCACTCATAATCCAGGATGCCGTGGGCGGGTGTAGTTAGAGCTGCTTAAAGCGGCAAAGGACAGGGAGAAAGGTCACTGCCTACCTGACCATCACAGTGAGGCTTGCTGGGCAGCCACTCTCCCTGCTCATCTCTGTGCCCTCACATGGGGTCTGTCAGTGCCACTGCAGACAGAGAGATTAGCCCTAGCAGTTTGGAATCATTTCCCCAGGAACAGGGTGCTGTCAGTGCCAGAGGCAGGACTTAGATCTAAGATGGCGGTTCCAAAGCCAACACCCTTGCCTAGCAGCCACCCTGCCTCTCCTCCTCATTTCCAGTGTGCCAGTCTTAGTGAAAGTGCATATCTATTAGCTTGCTTTACATTATCAGCAAAACACATAGCTCAGGGGACATGCCCTAGATGTTTCCTGTCTCTTTATCTACTATGTTGTCTCCATGCTGGAGGTACCTACCGTAACCCAGTATCTAGACCCCATCTAGGCAGCACTCCATCCAACAGCTCCGCCCATCTCTCCTGTGCCTCATGTTTGTGTCACATCAAACACCACAGCCAGCAGCCAGGATGAGGCCCAATTCACCCGAGACAGCAAAGAGGGTGTAAGAAGAAAGTGTGATTTCTCTCATACTGGACCCCAACTCGGCTCCCCTTCCAGTGCCAGGGACCCTGAGTTTTAGGACGTGAGTGGCCCTGTCTTGCTGCAGGCCTGAAAAAGGTGGACTCTCAGCAAACCACTGAGACACAGACTGCAAAAGAGAGGGGTCTTTGTGACCCCTCAGCACACACTTCACCGGCCATTAAAGTTATCACCGGCCGAGAGCTAGCTGAACTTGATATCTAACTTCAACATGCAGCCGTTCCTTGCTTCTGTCCCAGGAAGAATAAACCTGGCCTACGTACATACAAAGAGTCTACTTAGAGTTGATGAAGTCCCATACCGCTGCTCTCATGGCTTCTGTTGCTGCAAGGTGTAAGAACTGGAAACAGCAGATGTGCCAACGATCATTCCCTAGTTACAAACACATTTCAGAAAGATGTTGTTGAGCATTAGCACTGCTGTTTGTCAATCGAGAGGCAATTACTGGTCGTAACACATTCCATCAATTTTAAGTTATGCTCGCATGATAAAACATATTCTGGCAATACAGCAGCAAAGCTTGTGTTACCATTGTCTAATTTAGTAGTGCTCTTATGCAAAGTAGCTTCCAGTGTACACTGAGCAAGGAGCATGTAAACAATGAGGAACCATGAACCATGCAAGGTACTAGAGAGACGCTGAGCTCTGGACCATGCTTCTACAGAGATGCCAACTGTATAGAGGCAATATAGACTGCCCACTGATTCTTCAAATTATGGGATACAAATGAATGGGAGGGAATTAAAAAAGAAAAGACAGGATGTGGTTGGTGACGCAAGCACTAACAACCCCCAGAATCTGTTTTCTGCTGCGCTGTGCTCTGTGTGTGTGTGATGTGCGTGTATGTAATGACAAGAGGGAAGATTTAGCTGCAGACTGCCATGTTTCCTGGCTCCCTGTTTCTCATTGCCTGAACTCAGGCATCCCTGCTTCTAGGCTGTGAGCTACTTTGACAGAGATGCTTTATGAAGCCACACAAGGCCCAAGGAGGGAGTGTTCAGCCTCCTGAGGTTCCTGACCTGGAAGAGGGATCTTTTGTCAGCAGAAACCCTTGATACCTGAAATGCAACCAGCCATTGATTTCTGTTGATAACATGTTAAGAGAAAAACATTCAGTGAAAAAAATGTTTAAAGACTCATTAATTGGCTCTTTCTCTGACAACCAGTGTCTTTTATGGGCAGGGTAGCCCTCTCATTATATATATATTGATAAATGATTGAAAGGAAATGCCGACCACATTAAAATGAGGTATTTATATTGTTTTGACCAAAATTCTGTCTAGCGTGTTTTTACTCATGTGTTCTTGGAGACAAAAGGGGGGGGTACAAATACCTCAGGTTCTCACAGCCTCTGTGCTTCCTAGCCCAGCCTGCCACACCCATGAGAATTTCATAGTATTTATCACATTCTTTACAGCTGTCACATTTCCAAAGTACTGGGCCACTCATAGACTAACCCCATAGAATCCAAAATGATACGCCCCAGCTTCCTCTGGACTCCTGAAAGTAAACGCTGAAACTGTCCATAGTCCTTTGAAAGCCTAAGAAGAAATGAGAACTGGGTTAAAAATACAAACAGATTTGCTGCCGCAGGCTTATCACAGACACTTCGTAAGCAAGCATCTGCCTTCGGAACTGGGAGTACCATTATCAGAAGGACTTTTTGTTTTCAGATATCTTAATAGACTAGGAAAACAGTCACCAGGGAGGAGCCCTGCCAAAGTCTCACCACTGACAGACGTGCTGCTGTCCCCTGTTTCTAGGGAGTGCTGGAGTTTCAGAGTCAAGAATTTACAGGGAGTCCAGGGGACGTGGTAGCAATGAGCCGCACATAAAGCGACCGATGAATGCCTTCATGGTGTGGGCGAAAGACGAACGGAGGAAAATCCTTCAGGCCTTTCCCGACATGCACAATTCCAACATCAGCAAGATACTGGGTAAGGAGAGTGTGGAGACCGAGTGAGTGCCGGGGGATGTGTTACACCGTCTTGTGCTTTCAGAGGAACGCATGGGTGGAGAAGGCAAGCTGCTCCTGTCTTCTGCTTTTCCAAACTGTTAGCACCATCACCAAGCGCCCTGCAGGCAACAAACCACCCAGGAGCAGCAATGAGACATGTGCCCAATTCGTAAGGACCCCTGGAGGAGTAGGACACCCACTGTTGTAGAATCCTCGGTGCTTTCATGTGAGCCATCCATGTTTAGCAACGACCTTCATCTCTTCATTCCATTTGTGAACTGGACATAAAGGTCTCCCTCCTTCCCTTCCTCTCTCTCTCTCTCTCTCTCTCTCTTTTCCTCTCCTCTCTCATCCTTTCCAGAAGCATAAGAATTTCTAAGAACTTTGAGTTTTGTTTATTGTGCCTGGTGTGCTGGGGGAAGAGAGGACATACGACCTAGAACCCCCACTCATTTGCTTTCAGTAACCCTACAGACAAAAGGTGCCTTTGGTAACTCTTAGGAACATGGCATAGTTTTGAGTTTATTTGAGAGGAAGTTTTTCCTACCACTTCAGTTCCCATTGTACCAGAAGACAAGATACACATTCACCCCAAAGCATGGACACTCATGTACACAGAGAAGATGGGTAGGGAGGGCACAGGATATAGAAAGACTTACTGTAGATGGATTTAAGACAAGGACCAGGCAGAGCTAAAGAGAAATGAAGGTTCAATTTTCCATTTGTCTTTGACATCATCTTTATCTCCAGGTAACATGATGCCCTAGAACAGCAAGGAATATTTTACATTGCCCATTCTCTGATAAGAGTTCAACACCTAGCTAGCTCCATCAGAAAAAAAATAAGTAACAACATACACACAAACTACTTTTTAAGGTTTATTAAAATTTATGATGCCCTTGGAATTACATGTACATTATAAAGCAATATCTTTGAGGGTGCATTAAAGAACTGATTAGGCTACAAGTAGTAACTAAAATGCAGTCTTCTGGATTTATAGTCCTGTAGCCTCCACAAAGGTAGTAGATGCCACCCAGGTCATAAGGTGCTTGTGATGCCATCAGACCCCATAAAAGCACATGCACTTCAACATGTGGGTTTTAATATTTTCTTCTAAAATCGTTTTCAGATGAAAACATGCATGTTGTCTGAGATAAAAGCAAGTGGCATTCAGCTGCCAAAACAGGATTTCCATTTTGAAAAAACACATTTGTACAGAGTAAAATGCTGGACATGATGAGAGTGAAACAAGTACCTCGATGGATGTACCATCTCCGGTCTATTTCTTCCTTCAATTACGTTATCATCTCTTCTTCATAAATTACCCACATTTGTTTGCTTTTTAAGACAGGGTCTCACTTTGCAGCTCTGGCTGCCTGGGAACTAACTGTAGACCAGGCTGGCCTGGAACTTTATAGAGACACTTCTGCCTCTGCCTCCCCAATACTAGGACCTAAGGAGTGTGGCACCGTTTCTAGCTGAATTCTCCAAATTTGAACATGCCACACCTGCTTCATCTGGAATCACTTGATAAGTGAGCGTGGTGCTGAAAATCCTTCTCGCTGGTTAAAACTCTTAGTTGACACAGAAGAGCAGACAGTTTAGAGAAGTGCTGGGTGGCTGGAGGCTTGCGATCCCCTGTAACTTCAAGTCCATGGTATCCAAAACCCTCATCTGCTCTTCCTAAGCAATCGCACTCACAGGCACACACACAATTTGATTAAAAATCTTTAAAAGATTTTTAAAACATTATTTTTTAGGCAACGTAGCAATAACTCTTTATGGTGCAGCAATAACTAGCTAGGATGATCCCTTTCTGACTTAAGGTGAGACTCACAATATGATCTCTGCCATTACAGGGTACACCTAAGATGGCTCCCACCCAAGCCTTTCGCCTACAGCCATAGTAATTAAACACAGCATTTTAGTCACCCCAAAATTAAACACTGAAGTTTGGGGGCCTCAATCTCTAGTTATAGCTTTAAATAAATATGAAGTCTTTAAATAGTCGCAAGATGGTTCTGAATGGCCTATTTCATACAAAAGTACAAAGAAGGCTGAATGTTTTTCTCTTTACCGATTGTTTTGGATAACAGCCTCCGACAGCATGCTGCTAATTCATTCTGCTTAAAACAGGCGCTTGAGCTGGGTTGACATTTTACGTAGTCTCTGGGGATCCTAGTTGACATTTTAAAGGGCTTCTAAGCATTTTATAATACCCTAAAATCTGGTTTTAATAAGCCATTCTGCTGAAATTGTTAACATAAGGAATCACCTTTTACTGTTTGGCGCTAGATCAGGGACTGGGGGACATCTTTTTCTGATTAGATATACAGTAGTCAGAGTAAAATGTGCAAATTCATTACATGCCCCATGGAGGTGACATTGCTGCTCAGCTCATGCTCTCCTCCGAAGCCTACACCAGACTCAGAAGAGTAAAAAAAAAAAAAAAAAAAAAAGGCGAAGGCTCCTTATTTTCTCGTACTGAGAACATCAAAACAAAAGAGTACAACTTAGTCGTTTGTCGTAAGAAGGCATTCCCTTGCAAACAGCCCAGCCTTTGAAAACAGCAAGCCCCTTCCCCATTGTGCATGGCTGTGGGCACAAACCGAACCAAGTTACTGTTTTCATTTGTTTGCGGGGAGGGCGTGGCCTACCACAGTGCCTTTGCCACCATCCTCAGTGAGCATATTCACCAGCTGTTATGGTTGCTGGAAAGCCGTTGACACCGAAATCAACCTGCCAGTTGGCCGTCCTCACCCAGGGGAATTCTTAAAGATGTAAACTGGGTTAGCCTCCAAACTGAGGCTGCATGGCCCTAAGATAGACTTAGGGCCTATCCAGTTGGTACTTTAGGACATTAATTCATAGTTATGAATGAATAAATGTGTCATCTGAGTAGCTGGTGGGTACCTGCCTGTCACCTCAGCACTGGCAATATTATAAAGCAGGAAGACTAGCCATCCTGAGCTACCTGGAGAGACCCTAACTCTAAAAGAAAAAAAAAGGTAATTATTATGTGCCCCCCCTTTTTTAAGAATATAGCTTAAGACTGGGTGTTCTTGGGAAAATATGCTGTAGGAAGTAAAGGAGGGAGTTTTAATTCCCAACCTGCCAACTCAGCATTATGCACATGATCACATGATGGGAAACATAAAAATGGCTGTCAGTCCAAAGCAGGTTACCTCAGGACATGGCTTTTCTTTTTTCTCTTCCTTCCTTCCTTCTTCTTCCTTCCTTTCTCTCTTGCTCTTTCTTTTTTCCTTTTTGGTTGTTTTGAGACATGGTTTTTCTGGGTAGCCTTGGCTGTCATGGACTCGCTTGCAGACCAGGCTGGCCTTGAACTCACAGCACAGCGATTCACCTGCCTCTGCCCACCTCCCTCACCACACACAGCTAAGCATTTCCTTTCTTTAGAGAAGAAATAATTTAGAAAAAAAATTGGGAAATGTCTTCACTGTTTCATAGTCTCATTGAATTTTCTTCTTTTTGTATCCAGCCCTGAGATAAGATAAATAGGTTTTGCTCTAAGTTAGTGGTTCTCAACCTTCCTAATGCTGTGACCCTTTAGTACAGTTGGTTGTGGTGACCCCAACCGAACACAAAATCATTTTATTGCCACTTCATAACTGTAATTTTGCTACTGTTGCAAATCATAATGTAAATATCCGATAGGTGACCCCATGAGGGGCCAGCGACCCACACGTTGCTCAGCAGTTACCCTGAGGTGGAGTTTGGGGTCTGTCCTTAACATAACTGACCATGCTGCACAAACACAAGGTTTAGAATGAAAAACAAGCAACTCTGCTATTTGAACTCTAACCTGACTTCTGTTTGGAATAAAATGAAACTATAAAAACTGCTTAGATTGAGGGGCAATCTGTCTAAAACACCTGTGACAGATTTGCTGGCGCTCTCACAGGGAAGACAGGCTTCCCCATGCATGCCATGCTGTAGCGTGTGTAAAACCGTCCCCACTGACGGCCCCTCGCCATCCCTAGTATAGAGTGCTCATTAGTGCACTGCCTCCGCCTGAGCTGCAGCATCCTGGCTTCGTCTAAGCTCCTCCCTCGATGATGCCTGAAGGCCTGGAACCGTGGGATATGTGAACTTTTGTGATAAGCATGTGCCCTCACATAGAAGTACTCAAAGACTCAGTAAGTCACAGATTCACAACATGTGATGAACTCACATGGAGCTTTTAGCAGTTTAACTGCATCTTATAAAATTCTTGAGCTTTTCAGTGCATAATAAACAAGCTTAACCGTTCATTCAAGTCAAAAATGCTACATTGCCCAGCGCGTCTGTCTTTGGGTGCATAATTCTCTTGCAGACACCCTGCTCTTGCGAAATCTCGCCTTTCGAGTTGATCTTGCTAATCAGAAACATGTTTATGTAGTTCTGGATTTTGCCCAACATTTTTTTTTTCAACTTCTTTCTTGTTCTCCATGACATCTCTTTTTTTAGGATTCTTAGAAACACTGCAAATTGGCATCCTAACCTCCTTGTCTCCACAGGATCTCGCTGGAAAGCTATGACCAACCTAGAGAAACAGCCATATTATGAGGAGCAGGCCCGCCTCAGCAAGCAGCACCTGGAGAAGTACCCAGACTACAAGTACAAGCCTAGGCCAAAGCGCACCTGCCTGGTGGACGGCAAGAAGCTGCGCATCGGGGAGTACAAGGCCATCATGCGGAATCGGAGGCAGGAGATGAGGCAGTACTTCAACGTCGGGTACGGGAACTACCTTCCGGCCCTGGGTTGCAGAGCGCCACCTTCCCGGTGTCCGCTGGGAATGCCCCCCCCCACACACACACCCTTGGCTATTTAGTTGCAAACGTTTTGAAAGAAACCTGCAGTCTTTATTTTGTATACCATGTGTAACCCCAAGTATATGCATAATATATAGACAGACAGATGCCTGTCTCTTTGTTGAGAAGGGGATCCCCAGCAAGCTGCTGGCTCTCCTATTAGTTTTATCCTGTCTTATTTGAAAGCAGATTTGCTTCAAACCTAAATATAGTCTTGATGCTTGCAGTTACAAACTTAGAGGTATGACTGAATCTTACCAGTTCTTTTCCTGGATGCTGCTCATGACTTCCAGTGTGTCACCACTAGCCGCTTGGTCGAGATAACACAACCTAACCAGGATTGCAAAAGAATCACTGTTTCTGAATGGTGTGGACTTGCTGAGCTAGGCCACACACACACACACACACACACACACACACACACACAGCAGTCTTCTATGTGTATTTCTCATACAGTAGAGATTACATTTAGAACACAGCAAGGTCATGGACAGGAGAGCTCCATCTCACACTCAGAACCTGCCCTGAGGATGTATGACTCTGCTTCCCCCAGGGAAGCCATGCACAGTGGCACAGTAAGTTCTCAAGACACTCAGGAATAAAGTCTCTCATACTTGAAGCAGTAAGACCCAGAGAACTTAGGAGAGCAAATAGCACTCTAAATATAGTCAGAAGGAGGCTGAATATTAAAAGAAAAGCGACCACACCTGCCGTGTAGCCCCCAATCCTTAAGGTCCAGAGCAAACCTGGGCCTTAGAGAAACTGGAGTTCCCAGGTTAAAAGCGCTGAGGAGTCTCAAGAGTGGGCTGACAGAAGCAAGTGTGTCGCTGCGGGTAACTTCTGTGGTAGTGTGTCTGTGAGACATAGCAGGTGGTAACACGATAGTGGGCTCTCCTGTGCTGGCCTGGTAACATTATTTGGAAAGCTCTAAGTCATTTAGAGATTTGTCCATTGTACTTTTAAGCTCCACTGCAGGGAAAACAAGCAAAGCCTCCTGCCTCCTTCATAGCGGAGGCAAAACCAGCTGGGTGTCAGGGTCTAGGGTAATTTTGCTTAACCTTTCTGAGCCAGTACTTTTCCTAATAACAATAGGGTGGAGTTATTTTAATTGTCAAATGGCAATTCTAAATGCCCCCTCACTGATGAGGCTTATGTAGGCAGGTAAGGCATTAGGATCAACACAGGATGTCACCCTAGCACGTTGGGTGAGTGGGCTAGTGACGCCGAGACCTCCCGTGAACTCTCCCCACCTCTCTCTGTGACAGGCAACAGGCACAGATCCCCATCGCAACTGCTGGTGTCGTCTACCCCGGTGCCATCGCCATGGCAGGAATGCCATCCCCTCACCTGCCCTCGGAGCACTCCAGTGTGTCCAGCAGCCCGGAGCCAGGCATGCCCGTGATCCAGAGCACTTATGGCGCAAAGGGAGAGGAGCCTCACATCAAAGAGGAGATCCAGGCGGAAGACATCAACGGGGAGATCTACGATGAGTACGACGAGGAGGAGGACGACCCAGATGTGGACTACGGGAGTGACAGCGAAAACCATATCGCAGGACAGGCCAACTGATGAGGGCCGACAGACTGCGGTGAGCTGAGGACGTTAGGAAGCCCTCGCGCGTCCATCCTTCCAGTGGCCAAGCACATTAACTTTCTCATACACTGACTGTTATTTTAACTGTTAGTCTTAAATAGTTGGGACATCAGCTGACAAATAGACCTCAGCCTCAAAAGGCTCGGAAAGGAAAAAAATATATCTATTACAAGCAAACAACATCAACAGCAAGAGATTGAAATAAGCTATGGGTAAAACAAAGCCAGTAACTCAGCTGCTACACCCCAGCACTGAAGTCTCACCCGTCAACTTTTTTTTTTTTTTTAATAAACTTTATGGCTGTTTGTTCTATAACTAGAAATCCTCACTCAGGTACACAGTGCCAACAAGTGGCTTGTGAATGTGTTTTGTTGTTTTGTGCTACAATTTTTAAAAAAGAAATAAGTTCTGTTTTTGTTTTGTTCTGTTTGGGGGGGAGGTGGTTCAGGGTTTTTCCTTTTACTTTCCTTTTTTCCTTCCTTTTGAGTGTTATCTTGCACCTGACGGAAAGAGGGAAGATGGGTGTTTGTTCCCTCCACCCTCTCTATCTCTCTGCTTTAAAGATGGAGGCCTGTGTGTGAGGGTGGGGGGAGAGAGGAAAAAAAGAGCCTGTTTTTGCCTTCCTTGCTTCTACACCAATCAGCAATCGTTTTCCCTGGAGACCTCCAACCCTCGCACACAACACTACATCTTTGAGCAAGTGCCAAATTCATGCTGAAGCGATCACCAATTTCATTTTCTATCCCTTCCTTTCTCCCGTTCCTTCCTAAGTTAGGACAGTGTTAACCCTTAGACAGTCCCTGGAAAAGAGCTGATACACCAGCAACTGGTGAGATTGAGGTTTGTTTTGTTGTTTTTTTTTTTTTTTAATGGAAAACTGTAGGTGCCGTTCTCAGGTGAAAAGAGAGAGAGAGACATAGAAATTTAGAGAGAAAAAAGTATTTTCTGATCTTGGATTTCTGTGTGTGTGTGTGTATGTGTGTGTGTGTGTGTGTGTGATTGTGGTACATTAGATACATTCCTATTAGGGAATAATGTTGGGCCATTGTGAGCAAAACCCACATGTGGGCATGGAATTCCACCCCTCCTAAGCAAGTGGTCTAGAAGCGACCCTGACCTTGACTTTGCACTTCCAGTGACAGTGGAACGAAGCCGAAGCGCAGGGCTGAGAAATTCTATTTTTAAATGTCTAGTGCTTATTAGCAGGTGGACCTCGTGGCCCGCGCGTGGAGCTGTGCAAGCATGGAAGCTGCCAGCCAGATGCTTCCTGAGGCTCCTTCTCCCTGGATATTTGCTTTTTCTAATGTTTGCTACTTAGTGATTTCTGTGTATGTGTGTTTGTTTTTCTGTTGAAACTTTGAGCAAAACAATCATTGTTTTGACTGAATCTATTTGGCCATTTTTTCAGAAATATGCTATTAGCTTATGTCTCCAACATTCCATCCTTTCCTGATGAGGAAACAACTGATGATTTTAGACGATTTTCTTTTCATCTCTCCACACAATGAGGTCGGAGACTGTTTGCATTTCACAAGTGTGGGCTGTCTGTTTGATGCCCTAAGAACCAGGATGTGGTTAACATTCACTGTGGGGTCACAAATGGAGCCTAGCTGAACCCAGGCCCTCTTCCCAGTGCGCTCCTCCACTGCAATTTGAGTCTGCTAAAGGTCACTTGCTGGTGCCTACAGAGCACACTCTCCGGGCAACAGCCAGTGGTGACAGGACCGCCGATTCCAGTCACCAACCAAAAGGCCAGGACAGCAGTAGGGCCTGGACAAACGCAGACCCACCTCCCATCGCTCACCATCGTTTGTATTTAAAGATTAGACAGTGGGCAGATGTGTTCCATCCCATTCCCATTGTGCCCTGCCAAACACCATCCCTCAAGTTTGATTTTCCCACATGAAAAAACTAAAAAAGAAGAAGGAAAAGAAAACTCCTTTTTTTTTTTTCTCTCTCTCAGAAGTCTTGCTCTGGGGTTTTTGCTTGGAGGAGCTGATCATACCTGCATGTCAGAGGTTTGGTTCTATTTTCTGTTTGTGGATTTTGTTTTGTTTTGTTTTGTTTTGTTTTATGACTGTATTTTCATTTGAATTGCCTCTTTTTGCTAGTGTTGTAAAATTATGATAATAATAGTAATAATAATAATAATAATAATTAATAACGGTCAGCTGTTCCCAGATTAGTAAATTATGTATAATTTATTTTATTTCTCCCTTTCTATTTTATTCTGCTCTGATTTGGAAGTTGCGAGGTATTTAAAACTAATATCTATTTCCAGTTGGTATACATGCATACACACCTGTATGTGTATACACACACATACTCACCCAAACACTTGCTTCTCCACCCGTAACTTCCTCTGTTAACAGTCTTGGTCCCAGTAGCATCAGTTCTGGTGTTTAATACGAAGGGGTGAATTAGTAGGAGGGTCGTGTTCAATCTTAATTAACTTATGCTCTTTTCTCTCATTTAGTTATTTAATTACCAATTAGCTAGAGCCAATTTTTTTGTTTTTGTTTTGTTTTGAAGCACTCTGAATAAGAAAAAAAAATAGACACTTGTTTTTATACCGTTATAAGATACAATGTGAAAACAGATTTATTAAAAAAAAAGTTTCTCTGTGTCAACAAATTTCTCCTGACTGACGTGGGTTCCCCACTCACGTGTGCTGGGTTCCTGTTTCACAGCACATTCTAGACAAGCTTGGTTTTCACTTCCTGACCTTGGGCAACAAGAATACTTTGTTTTAGCTCCAGGTAGATGCTACTGAAGGCATCCATGACTAAAACTCAACCCAACACAGCAGTAGATCTGAGCAAACTCTCTCTTTGCTTTGCATTTTGGTATTTGAAGGGAAAACAAAATTATTCCTGGTAACCTGTAGCTGCCAGAACTCTCCAGTTCAGTTGAGTTTGTCTCGATAACTGAACTGCCCAGACAAAACTACAAAGCAAGTCCATAATGTCATGCCATATTCTGTTCAGACATTTTCTTCAGTAGGTGTTGGCTTTGCTTTGCCCAAGAGTTTTCCCCAGGGGACAACAACCATAAAGATAATTCTATTAATGTTTAAAGTGCATTGAAGTCACTTGGGAAAAAATAAAAATAAAAGGTGCTTTGACTAGCAACTTAACTCTGTTAACACACTGTCCTTTGGGCCTTTGATTTGGTGATAATCTTTGTAAAGGATCCTAAAACTTTAAATTCTTTCTATGCCTCACAATGTCCAAATAAGATATGGTAGAGAAAGCAAGATAAAATGGAAAGATCAAAGTTAGCAACAGCATGCCTCCTTCCTTCTCTCCTGCTTCTCTGTTTAAGTCACTCCCAGATTTCTGCCCCTCCCCCATCTTCCCCTTCATACACATTTATACCAACACCAAAAAGTAATATTGCCAATTTCTTCTTTTTATATTTGTAATTGAACCTCTAAAAATAGTCATGCTTTATATAAATCTAAGAAAAATATTTACTGGATAAAATAGGTTAAAGTTGTTTGTAAGTTAATGATAATTTGGCTAGTTATTACAATCAGAAAACACACACACACACACACACACACACACACACACAGTCAGTGTATTTTCACCCAAATTAGTCAAGTGAACTCTGGAGTTCATTTGGTATCTAGCTTAGACTTACCTTTGTGTAAAACCCTCCCAATGAATACACTTTTCATGGTTGGAACCAAATCTTTCCATGAGGAATGAATATTAATTAAAGTGTAAAGTGTTCTTTAATGCAGTCACTTCCTATGTTTGATTTCTAAAGTACAATTTACCTTAGTTTGCTTTGAGGAAATTATCTTTACCATTTCATGGTGCATTTTCAGATCATTTCATAAACTGCAGAAGCTGATGGTGTTCTCATCAGAACCCTCTTCTTTATCACTTAAAAACTTCAGAGATAACTATACTTTCCTTCCTCTAAAGGGTAAATTATTGAATTGTAATAACTGTATATTTACAAACAGGTTTATAAAAATATTTGTCTATCAAATTAATAGTGAAATAAAAACTTTATGAGATCTGCAAGGGAAAAAATACAGAACCCACTTAAAGTGGTTGATCTATCCCTCTGTCTCCTGGGGCACAGGCATTTCTTTAGCTAGGTTGATACAGTATTTAATTCTGAGCTCCACAGGTTGAAGGTGACATGCTGGGTTTCCTCCTGACGGTGCCTGTCCTCCCCCTGTGTCTGTCACTGGTCCACTAAGGCAGTATTTATTCAGCTCCCCGGGCTCTAAAGCACTTAGTCTTTCTAACAGCTTGGATTTCACAAGTGAAAAGGTTTTGTTTGTTTGTATTTTTTTTAATGATTTAAAAAAATAGTAAAGAGACAATCAATGCCTGGAGCTTAAAACAAAGTATGTGCAAACTACCATCTCACTTGAAATTTAATAAAAGAAAAAATTGTGTAAATATAACATAGAGTTATAGATTTCTATTTTGTTCATAACACATAGTGTAATATAAGTTGTATATTTTCATGTTTTTTGGTTTTATGTTATCATTCATGCCACAATAAGAATAAAACAGGAGTTTGTGTACTCTTGGGAAAAAAATGTGGGTTCCCACCAACCTGTTTTTTTAGCTTTTCTGTTTTGTTTTCATTTTATTTTGTTTTGTTTTGCATTCCTTTTTTCAGTATTACTGCCGTGCAAGGCACCAATAAAACAGCAAATGTGTTCTTTATCTATTATACTGTGTTTCTCTGCACAATTTGTTTATGAAGGTTAACTGTTGATTTATGATGAGACAAAGGGACGTTCCGACGTCTCATCCTCTGAAGACCATGAAACACGACACACACTTTGAACTGAGAACTAAGGGCTTTGTTCAAAAAGGCCATTCCTCAGACAGGGATCCAACACCAGGTGCCCTCCTGTGTCACTGACTGGGGACACTGACTGGGGACAAGAGTTTGGATATCCACTAGCACTCTTCACTGGGTGGGGGTTGGGACTCTTACACCCTATAGTCACAATCTATCCCAATGTGTGGTGGCAGATCTCCTACTGTCAGCTCACAGGGCACCAAGGAGCATAAACCGCTTTTCCCCACAAGGTACTGCTGGAACCAAATGGCTTTGCCTCTGGAGTCAGTTCTCAGTTTTTAAAGCTGTTGCTAAAAACAAAAAGGGCCATTTTTGCTCCCCACATTGTGTGTTTTCTGTCTTGGTAGTTCTGTGTGTCACACTTGGAGGGTTTGGAGTTATTGTTGGTGTGGGTCTTGTTTGTTTGGAGTTATTTGTTGGTTTGGGTCTTGTCTGTCTGAAGTAGTACCCGCTAACTGAGACAAAGCCTACTGCAAATGCTTATAAAACATACATGGAGGTGGAACAGTGGCCAATGTGCAATTGCTCACTAGCAGGACGACGTGAGGAAGGCTGAGAAAGCCCATGAAACTGAGAATTAACTACTGAGAATGCAGGCCCCGTCCAAGATGTTGGATGGGGGATATTAAGCTGCCCTGTGGCTCTACTTCAGATACTTTTATAAGCACTGATATCCCCCAACTACCCGATTTGTTTAGCAGGAGAGGCTGTCTTCCTCTGCCTGTTCTATTTCTCTGCCTGCTCTACCTACTTCTATTTTGCATGTGAATTTGGTAGTTACTGTTGTCTACAATGCTTCCACATGAACCTTAGGCCTCTGCACAATCCTTGACACCTCAGGCAGGGAACACGCTCTGTCTTTCTCCCCACTGAATGGCTTTGAAGATGTTGGAGCCATCAAAACAGCTATGACCATTCTCTGAGCATCTAGGAGTTCATTTTGTCAGCCACCTGAGGCACGGAAAGCAGCATAGAAATACAGGAGGTTTGTGAAACAATGTCATGCTGAGAAGAAATTGCCATTGTAGCAATTGTGAAGTAGATGCTCTGTAAGGACAAGCTAGCATCTAGGGCTGGGACTCACCCTTAGGCTCTCCGAAGCAGCTTTATCAGATTTCCAGGAGATAATATGAGCTGCTGAGCAAAACTCATGTCCTCTCTCTCTCTCTCTACCAAATAAAACACCCTTAGTTGCAACCTACAATATTTTAATTTAGAGCCTTTCTTCCCCATGCTATATTCTTGTTCTTTCCCCTTCATGCCAAAGGCCCAAGCAACCAGAAGAAGCTCAGCCACTGAGGAAAATATTCCCATTTCTGTAACCTCAACACTCTCAGTCTCCCACTTCCATTCACTGAGACCTTTACTTGCTGTCACTGTTGCCAAATTTTAGCTGTTCTCTCTGTAACCCCTCAATGTTTCTGCAACCTGCTACAATAATAGAGGTAAAGGCATGCAGGAAGCAGTCCGTATGTCTCAGTTCACGATAGATGGTTTATAAAAAGAATCCATTTTTTGAAGTTTATGAAGCAAGCTAAGAGCTATTGGAGATGACCCGTCTTATAAGCACTGTAATTATTAGGCAAAGCAATAGTATTTCTGAGGGTTCTGGAAAATGGTTACATTTTCTTAAGCAGGATAAGCATCTGTCTTCCAATGTGCTAATCTACCAATTTGCTTAGCAAGCCCCTTTTGCCACAAAGAATGAACTAATTCAGCTCTGATCACAATGTGTCACCATTTGTTCGATCAGCTCCAAACACAAAGTTTTACAACAACCCCCCCACACACACTATTTACACATGCAAACAATCATGGCCAGGAACGGTCCTTCCTTGCTATTTAATGTACAGCCAGGAGGATAGATCTTATATCATCATCATAATCAGTACCCATTCCTGTTAAAGAAAAACATGATACACTAAAATATCAGAAAAAAGTTGTAGGAATTAATAGGCCCAAGAACACACGCCTATTTTATAGACTGACTGTTCAACTTACTATTAAATTTCAGAATCTGGGAAGCAATCCTTATTACATATAAACTGTAAAGTATATTTGAAATAAAGTCTTTATTAAAAAAATTAACTGTTGGGATTTAATATATATGTATATATATGTATATATGTATATTTAATTTCTATGTATATATGCATATTTAATATCTATGTATATATATATTTCATGCTATTTATATTTCAGGCAGATATGGGAGTAGGGTAGGGGTAAAACAGAATGAGAAAATTTCTAGATTTTATCAAATTGTCACTTGCTCTTTCTTTCCTCCATTTTCAAAATTTCGTCTGACTTCAATACAGTAGTACAGTGAGGCCGACATACTTTTGCAAATGGCAAAAAAAAAAAAAAATACACAGAGGAAAGATTAAAAGAATTAAAATAGCACATGGATAACATTATTAAATACACATACATGCATATTTGTATATAAATGTGTATGTTTTGCATATTTGTATGTGTGCGCGCACACACGCAGACGAGCATTGTGCAGAGTGAGCTTGGAAACTCTAATCGCTAAACAGATGCAGCTCTTATTTTCGAAATAGAACAAACATGATAGCCAGGATTAGAACACTCTTATTACTTAATTGAAAGAACCTTGAAAGTTTATGATGGAAAACAATCCTCTCATTGTCCTAAATTCGCAGACGGAGTTCACACTGAAGGGCTCAGAAACAAAGCAAAAAGCCACTTTTCTGTAAACAGATTGACATAAGCTGTAGATGTGTTTCCTGCCTGTTTGCTCTATCCGTCCTTGTGGAGAGGTTTATAAAGACAATTTGCAGGGGGTCTCAGGCGAGGTGGTATACATATGAATAGATAACAGGCTATATGGATTAGACAGGGATTTTCAAGGATAAAGCTGGAAGAAATGTGTTATGATGAATATTTATCATGGCCCATAGACTAGCTTTTTCAACTATCAAATGTTTCAAATTGGCTTTTAATTAATGTTCATTATGAAGAATCTATACAAGACAGAAGATAATATTCCTTTAGTCAAAATGTGTAATTTGCAAGGAAATAAGATCAACAGACATTAAGCAACAATAAGCAAAAGGCAGGAAAGTTATTAATGAAGCAGAATTGTAAGTGATAAAAGATTTCATATGAAAATTTAAATTAGTTTACTGTTGACAGGCTTCTCCTTTCAAAGAGTACATAACAGGCATTTAAAAGCTAATCTAGAACTAGAGAAAGCTGGAAAAAATAAGTCTTTTAAATTTTGTTGTGTTTTTGTGTGTGAGCTCAGGTCTCATTACATAGTGCTGGGTTGCCAGGGACATAGAGAACTGGCAGTCCTACACGCAGCCATCACGCTCAGATACACCACGCCTGGCCCTCAACACTATATTGTAAAGAGAGGAGAAAACTTAGGAAGATATGCAGGATAGATGAGCCATAATTCTGAAAAAGCAAAAACCCATCCAAGGTAAATTTGATGAGCACTGACATTTGTATTGAGAAAAGCACGAAGCCAAATTTGAGCCTCACCACACAGATGGGCAACTGGTCAAAAACAGTGAAAGGTGAAATAGCACATAGGCCACCGCGCACTGCACACAAGCATGACAGCACAGTTTCTGTGAACATTTGAAGAGACGAGTCGGATAGACCCCGAATTCAAGTCTAGTTTTCCCAGTGGTTTAGTTGATGAATTTGTGGCTCTGGGGAGTTAAACGTGATATTTATGGCATTGCTTCTAAAAGCACTATGAAGATCTACTACTGCCATTTAGTGCTCAGGGACAAAGAAGAGCCAGGGAAAGGGACCTTCTGCAAGCACAGTAGACTCTCTCCACGTGACTCTGGTTGTATCTTCAAAGGAAGAGATACTGGTAAGACGTGCCAGGAAAGTTGCAAAGGCAGACAAAGATTCTGTATTCATTTATGGCCTAAAATGCATACAAACCTTCATAAAGGAAAAATAATCTCTAATATGAAGGCTCTATGTAAATGATGCAAAAGATAAGATTTAAAGGGTAATAACAGGGGAACTTGAGAAGAGAGGGGGAGGGGGAGATGCTTGCAATTAACTAATGGTCCAAGTGCTGACTAGGGATGCAGCTCAGTGCTAGACCACTTGCCTAGCACCTATGAGGGTCAAGGTTCAACCCTTCACGCCACACACCAAAGAAGATTTGCAACAAACAAAATGGTAAACTCCAGTGTCTTGTGCCTGTGCTCTCAACTACCTGAGGGCTGACCCTTGAGCCCAGACCCTTCAATGCCCAGCTAAGGTGACACACTGAGATAATATCTCAAAAACAAACAAACAGCTGGGGAGTTAGCTCTTCGGTCAAAATACCTGCTGCCCAAGCAAGAAGACCAGAGTTCAAATCCCTAGCACCCATGTAAATTCTAGGTATGCATGGAGGTTGTTTGACTAAATTGGCAAGCTCTGTGTTTGATTGAAAGACTTTGACTAAATATTTAAATTAGGGAGAGATGTAGGAACATTCTAGTCTCCACTCTAACATGGGAACACACACACCACACATAACAAGAGTTATCTTTGCCAGACAATTAAGCCAATTCTATGAGCAGACCAAACCCAGAAGATCCAGATTCCTACCACATTTCATGAAAGGGTTGTGTTCAAAGATCTATCAGGAAACAAGAGAAATGAACTGCTCATTCAACCAGCTGGGAGTACGATTCTTTCCTCCTGGAGTCCCTGAATATGGTCATTGCTCAGCCAGCTTGCAGCACTTTTCACAATTAGTCCAGCATTGGCATTAAACTTCTTTGACTTAACCTGGCAAACTCTGGAGCTGGAGAGGGGCCCAGGGCTTGACTCATCCAGTGGGAGCTGGAAGCCT